CACAGATTAATAGACAGATCGCCAAAGACCTGGGTTGAGGCGCGACCCCCATTTCCGTACTTTGCCCCTTACCGACACCTTTGCCCCTTACCGACACGTTTGCCCCTAGGTGCGAGTCCGGACTAAATATATCCGATTTTATCGACAGCTTTGCCCCTAGGTGCGAGTCTGGGCTAAATTATCAGGGGTGCTTTCGCGACGTAGAGTAAAATGATCCGGATCAAAATAATCCGTGCTATGATTGGTCAAATCTGAAATTTCGTAGCATCTCATTGAAATTTTATTCAATGAAATTTCAGATTTGACCAATCATAGCACGGATCATTTTGATCCGGATCATTTTACTCTACGTCGCGAAAGCACCCCCGATTTCAGACTTTGCCCGTAGATGTAAGTCTAATTGTATTGCAAGTCTAATTGTATGTAAGTATAATTGTAAGTGTAATAGTAAGGCTAATTGATGGTGAGACGAGTGAGGGGTGAGAGATTTGTACCTCCTCCTCCGCGACGCGTCGCAAACGTTTCAAGCGGCTCGAGAAATTTTCTTTTCACCACTTCTCGCGAACCGGTCTTACATGTATACATATGTATAATTTGTCTTTTATATAAGTATTTGTATTATTAATATAATAGCGAGTCAAATGCATAGAATAAAAATTATTTTGTTAATATTAATGTCTCGTAATCTATACATATATTTTTATATGTATATTAATAAATATTTTTCTGTACTTAAATTGTAAGAGTACATGTATAAGAACATAATAATATATACAGATTACAAATATTGTTTGTTGTTTTTATTGTCAGTTATTGTTCATTATTTGTAATATGTGAGCAAAATTAATATTTGGATTTCTACATGTTGTATGTCAGTCATAATAAAATTGTAATTGTTAATTAATAATCATGTTTAATATATGTATACAGAAATGATATGTTGTATATCTACTGTATGAGCGCAATTTCTAAAAAAATTATATATTCCTAAAAGAGATATATGAAGAGAAAATTGTTCCGATATATCGATTAATACCTTATAGATAGCACAGAGTATCCAAAAGAATCTAAACAGACTTTATTTTTTGTCATCATTATTTTTGTCATCAATTCTGAGGTCTTTTTCAGATACAAAAGGAATTCTTTTCGTATAAATACCCAGATAGCATAGAGAATCAAAAAGACTTCGTTTTCATGTCATCATTTCTGAGTTCCTGTATATGTATAATATATCAGGAACTATATATCTATGTGTATATGTATTGTATATCTTACACAATACACACACACATATATATACATATATATCACACAGCGATTTTTCTAATTTATCTTTATAAATGCTATACATAGCATTTATTACGATAACCCCTCTCCCCCCCATACTGAAAAATTAAAATTCTTATTGCGAAAAATATTATCTCAGCCAGGATTCAAACATGGGACCTCCCTCAATCCGTGACGGGCGTCTTAGCCAATTCGATCACTGAGGCTGTGATAATATTATTCGCAATAACCGGTATATTATTTTTAAGGATCGCTATCTGACAGCGTGTATAAACAACTAAATTTTCAACACGGTTCTTTTAAGATATAATTCATATTTTGACGGAATAAATACAGTAGGTATACGGATTCACATGATAATTCAAGTGGCCACCTTCATCTGTGCCAGGTCCTAAAAAGGCGTTTAAACTTTAATTGATTTATTAATAGGTTTGTTTGTTAATTTATAATTGTTCTATAATTTAAGTACCTAATTTATATCTTTAATTGTCATTTAATTTATATCTTGCCTATCTTGTTTTACTCACCATGACTTACCATTGTTCGCTGTAATCTCACCGTACCGTAACTTAATTCGTTTACCTAACAGTATTATACCTGGCTTATTTCAATTTATTTTTATTACTAATTTAATTTATATATACACTACGTTTAGACTTCATTACCATGACTCACACTAGTTTATCGTTTTTAATTTAATTTATACCCGACTTATTTATTATATTTATAATTGTTGTTGATTGCAGTTTACTTGAAAAGGACCCAAACTAGGGTCGAAACGTTGTAGTATCTACTTAAATAAAGCTACCTGCCAGTTGGGTTGACCATAAGTCCCTGTTAGAATTTATTCATTACTGGTGACCATAAGCAATCTTCCTATGTTAATTGATTTAATTTACTTAGTTGTAGTTATTTGTTTCAGAATTATGGAAATAAATTACAATAATGTGAAATAAAATTAAATAATTCTTAATTTCTTAAAAACAGAGATTATCTAGATATAAGCTTTATTTTACTCTTTATTTCCCCATAGGTTCGTTCATGTTTTATTGCCCATATTTAAAAACTTTGTAACATTATACATATTAAAAAGTATTGTAGAAATCTATTTGATCTAATAAAGCTTCATTCGAATACCAAAGTAATAGTATGCACCGTTTTCATGTCAAACGAATCTTTGATCCTTTCGTTTCAATACATATATTTGTCATTGACATGAAAGATGATATCCGTCTTGCTAGCTATGACAATGGAAAATTGAAATTTCTGTTATATTCTCAGAAAATCATTTTATTATTATATTGACAAATAATTTAATATGAAATTATTTATTGTAGTATTAAATTTATATTTGTTACATTTACCAAAATATGTAGCATTACTTACATAAAATTTACAAGAAATTAGATCATGAAATGTTCGAGTGAAAAAGATTTAAACAATTAATATGATTGTCGGTGCCAGAACGACAGTATAAAATTTGGCGTGAGCAGCAGTGCGAGATAAGAAAAGTCGGTACGAGCGGCGAAAAACAAAAAAGAAAATGTATTGAAATGTACAAAAATTATGTGAGTATGTATGCGTATTCTCCTAAAAAGCGGATCTTCAGGAGACAAAAACTTGGGCAGCCAATCGAAATCGAGCGGTTAGCTGGACGAGTCGTTTGAGCAGTATAAGCGCGTTGAGTCGTTTTACTTATCTGTATTTTCCGTTTTTCCCATAATAAATTATTTTGTTACCGTTCCTACTGTCATAACTTAGTTCTAAGGTATTCGAATGTTATAAATGGTGCGTATTTCTTAGGACTCGGGCCGGTATTCATAGTCGGATTCATACCCAC